GATTTGTCAAGTGTACATCCTATTCTATTACCTGTGTGGTCTTGGTTAAAAAAAATACAGAGACAGAGGTTTAATTTGGTAATTTGATATTGCTGATTTTCTATAATTGTACTTAAAGAATCCTAGAGTTTTGGAATACATTTTGCACTACAATATAAGTATATTGTGTACTTTGTTGCATGGCTACTGATAAGTCCAATTACAGGATAGAACACATAGGGGTCTTTAAGAAAAAAACTTTGCCTAGCTAATCTGTTCAGTGAACTACATGTAAACTTCTTCTGTGCGAGTTAACCAGCAATTGTCTGTGAAGGTTCTCATTCATCCAGGTCATGGTACATCTGTAAAAAATAAGTCAAGACAACTGGACTTGCTGTATTTTTCTTGAAGACATTTCACGGGTCATCCAACCAGCTTTCTCAATTCAGAATTACTTGTACAAAACTTATCTGGGGATAAAGGTGGCCATACACTGTACAACCATCGCAAGACCTTAATATGGTGAATGTTGTTCCAATCCACAATCCACATAATCTGTTAGTAACGACCAGGTGTTGATTGCATTTGCCTAGACTCCAATTATGCAAATGCAATCAACACCTGGTTGTGATTTACAGATTATGTGGATTGAAACAACATTCACCATATTTATTCCCAGAGAATGTTTCTACAAGTCATTCTGAATTGAGAAAGCTGGTTGGATGTCCAGTGAAACGTCTTCAAGAAAAATACAGCAAGTCCAGTTGCCTTGACTTATTTTTTACAGATTAACACGGTAGTTTGTTTTTTTAAATTGTATCTTGTAATTTTAACCTATTGAAGGATATTCGACCAGAAGAGAAATTACAGAAACTTTTTGCCAGTTCGTACGCTGGTTAAATCGCACAGAATGAATGTACCTGCAGATTAGCTGGATGGTGAAGCTATGCACACTTTTTTTATTTGCATGGGTTGCCTATCACATCCAATTAACACCAAGGAAGGGCATAACCTTTTTTTTCTTCTTTTTTTTAAAAACTTGTACCGCTCCACAGTGCATGGTAATAAGTGATTATGAGTTGTGATGCGAGGCAATGCACATGCTTTGGATAGGAGTATTGAGGTGCCATTAAGAAATAATGGCACTGCAGAGCAGCAAACATTGTCACACGTGATCTCACCTGAATGCATGCGTTCCTGTGTCACATAGTTGTGAGCAGAGCATAACACTACTCTAATTCTCCAAGTCTACAGCAAAATGAATGCTTCTTTACGATCCTATGCATATTGAAGTGTTATTAGTTGACCAAATATATTATAGGATGTCTGAGTGAAACTATGCAAGCTAAGAAACACTCCAGTCTGTACTACATATTGATGGCTACAGAAGCTACACACCATTTCAGAGGGAGAACAGAACTGGGAGGTCAAAACACCAATCTCATGGCAAAGGATCTACAGCTAACCATACACTATACAATCTGGTTTTACATTCTCTATACCTCTCCTTTAGATTTACCAAAATTATATAATATGGGGAGAAACCTAAAACATCTATTCAACTTGTATCAAATCAGACAGGCCCTTACACTGCATATATGATGGTAGAGCTAAAGGAGATTATGCAGTCAGATTATATAGTGTATGGTGAGCTTTACATTTGGTGAGCTTCATACCCATGGCATCAGCGCTTACAGTTCTTTTGTGTCTTACCAGTGCAGCATACTGGACATCGGCCTGTAAGTTGGAAGAGTTACACACAACTTGGTCCACACAGGTCAATAGTTTTCCACCTGCTGTATTGCACCTCCATCATGTTTTTAGATGCCAGGTACCCGGTTCCTTTCTTACTGGTTATTAGTCATGAACAGCAACGATCTGCTATAGTACCCATGGCGTTTGGGACAAATGATTTATTTCAGGTAAAGATTGAGACTCCCCATCTGGTCTTTCCCTACTTATAATGTAGATGATCCTCCAGATGTCGTCCTCTTACTACAGATCAATTATGTTTAATACACACTTTAGGAGGTGCCATGTTAGATGTACTACAGCTGTGCATATGACAGCCTTGTCATGGAAAGGTTAATTTATGAGTGAATGAAATCACTTGTAAGTACTGGAACTGCGTGTTGTAACATGCATACATTTTCTGACTTTGATCTGTGAAACTTCATCCCGTCAATCATCTTCTACAATACTCATATGCAGAATTATTGGATTTATTCCATAGTTACATAGTTACATAGTATTTGAGGTTGAATAAAGATATTAGTCCATCAAGTCCAACCTATTAGGATCTCATTCTAGGAGTACCCGTACCCCTGTATATTACGGTCACATGCCTCCAATTATTGGGACTTATTTATTGCTTTTGTGTATAGTCACTGTTCCACCTCTGTCACGCCTGTAAGTCTGAACCAAGCCACTTATAGTTGCCTATGATGGAGTTCACTTTTTATAGGGTTAACTTTGGGAGCCTGGACTCATTAGAAAGATTTACTGTGCTGGGATCCTGACCTCTCTTCACGTCACTGGGATGACAGGGATGCGGGGATTTCACACAGGCTCTGAGCATTCATCTGCCTGTGAGATAACTTGCATATTCGTGGATTGTTGAGTGCAGTAAAACTAGAAATACGTGACCTGTGGCTATATTTACATGTCATGCATTTTATTGAGGGCTGTTTTCTCAGCACAGTTTTGCGCTTTATGTTTTCAGTCTCCCGTCTTTCACATGATTCAGCTTTGGATAGCCATTCACAAAGTTAAGATCCATTTCTGTGGATTACTAATGAAAGATAGTACTGACTACGGTAATTGACTACGCTTAATGTTAGACCAGAGAGGCTCCTAATAATTAGGATTGGAGACGATGGTTATTTTGTATTACGGGCTCGGACGTTTCTCGTGTGAATGAGGGCTAAGTCATTTGAAAGATAAGTAAAAAACAACAGTAATCACACGCAGCACGGAACTGTACGGGCTCAGACGTTTCTCGTGTGAATGAGGGCTTAGGCTCTGTTTGTGGTGAGAGCTTGAGTGGTCTGACCATGCACAAGTCACAAGTCAGCACCATTGCCACATTTAAATATTCTGTTATTGTTAGATATCCCTTTCTATTTATATTTTTTTGTAACCGCAAAGTGTATGTGGAGTGTTTCTCAATGCATTGTTGCTTCATGTTTATGTTGCTACAATAAAATACATTTAAAAAAAGTTATGATTTATGATGTATAACTTGGTTAGGACATATTTAAATGGTAGCTATGGTCCATAACTAAAAATGTTTATTTCTATATGGAATTTCCATAAGCTTTTTCCCACTCTTAATAAGCATATCCATCTAGAGGTTTGTAAACCTATGGAAGATTCCCATAGGTTGCACTTCCTCAGTGCACTGACTCAATTTCACTCGCCTGTAAATATGCACTTCCTTGTGTCACAACATTCACAGAACCTGCCTTCTGAACTACAACTCAGCGTAATGTAACATTATAATTGCTTGCTGGAAGCAATGCATGATGGGATATGTAGACAAATAACAAAATCCCATAGTTGTGTTGGATGTAAACCACTTTTGAGCTCTGCATTTAAAATTTTAATTCACAGGGCAAATGTTAATTATGGAAGAGCTTTAGTTTTAAAGCTAGCCATATAGTGATTGTTTTTACTGAACGAGAAAAAAGATTGGTTCACCGATGGAGGCTCTTGCATTCTGACAGCAGTGTGTGTGTGCCACTGTCAGAATACCCAAACAATGACTGCAGCTCATTGACTGCAGTCACTGTTCAGCCAAGTATTTTTGGACTGGCTCCTTCGACAGTCAATTGGAAAAAAACAACTTCTGAAGACGTATTCTGAGTGCTGACGGCACTCCAATTTCTACTAGTGTATGGTCAACTTAACATACCCAACTGTCATTCAGCACCACAGTGCATTTCTGGTAATCATAGCAGGCTCCTCCCACAGGCTATCCTTTTTTTATAGTGGCCATATGTAAATTGGGCAGATCCTATTTAATGTGGGTAATACAGGGGCAGAGAAATTGGTATGGCAATTCACTAACCAGTCTGTCCAATCCAGGAGCCAACAGGATTTTTTTAGGATCCAGCTCTATTGACAACAATAAGAAAAAAACTCAAAATGTACAGTAGGTGCCAGCTGTGATATTTAAGGAACATTGGCTACTTGGCTCCCGGGATTTGTCAAGCCCTGGAGTAGTATATAAAGTATGTGTAGACATAAATAGTATCTGGGCAGAGTTTATTCAGTGCAATGCAAGGCTTAATGTATTCCTTTTAAATGCACTAAAAAGTCATGAAATAAAGGAACAGTGTTCCTTTACAGTATATGTTTGTCTTCTCCTCCACAGGTGTTTTTTAATTTATATATGTGTTTGTTTTTGGCCACTTATAATTGGTAGTAGTTCTGTAATGCTAACAGCATTTTACTGCTCATCCAAGTCACATCCTCAGTTCTAACAGGTGTAAAAAACCGTACCCAACATTTATAGCCACACTAATAAATCCGCCCCAATCAGTCACCATGGTGTCATATAGCATTACAGAACAAATCCTGTTGAATCAATAAATGAGAACCTTTGCAGACATATTTGGTCACCTTATTGAATGCATCTAAATCCACTTCAGAAAATGTTGTTTTGAACCAGATGTGGTGCGAGGAATAAAGTATTGTTTTTGTGTTGTATTTTTCAAAGGTATTGTGATGTTTCAGCAACGCATATTTTGTGTCTTTTTAAATTGTACCTGTTACCTTTTATATGTCATGATCCCAGAGATCTAATTCATTTCTAATCCTGATCTTGGGAATCTTGTTATCTTGGGTACTTATTTGTGATCCCCATAAAAAATGGCTTCAAAGAGTTTTTGTAGGAAACAGGTACACTTTAACACTGAACGCCATGCTTACTGCTACTCATCCATGCTCATTGCCATTCATTCGTGTCTGTTGCTTTTTATGTGTGTATGCTAATCCTTCCTGATTGTTTCTTGTTTCAGCTATTTGTACAAGAATGAAATCCAATCCATTGACAGGCAAGCTTTTAAAGGACTTGCCTCTCTAGAACAACTGTAAGTGTCACATTGCATTATTTTGCATGACTATTTCTCTGTCAACAAGAGAAAAGCATTTGTGTTGTTCATACTGCATGTGTCTCTGTTCCTGTTATGGGGGTGTTGCAAGGAAGGCAGTGATGCATTTAATACTAACATATGTGCTCCTGTTTCCTCAAAGATGTGATGTCCCACAGCTTTGGGTTGTAGATAGCCTGTGCTTCTCCATGGACGTCCAGGGCCAAACTATATTTGAGGCTCTTCTAGGCCTTCTAGTTTTTTGCAGCTACCACACACTTCTGTATGTGTTATAGAATATTTATTATTTTCCCAAAAGGATGGTCTCAAGTCTCTACAGTTGCACTATTTTTTATTTAGCTGGCCTTTCAACAAATTTATGTCTGATAGACTTGGACTGGTGGGCAGGGCCCTCCTTACCATCTTGTCTTAAATTGTATTGTGACTGTAAAGTCTTCCTTATATTGTAATGCGCTGTGCAAACTATTGGCGCTATATAAATCCTGTATAATAATAATAATAATAATGTGTCAGACAAAGCTCCCATTTAACTTTCGAGGCTAACATATGAGAAGATGAGAGCTCAAAGGTGAGGAATTTTCAGAAAGGCACACAGTTAAATAAGCATTGCATCTTTGTCTTCCACACCCCCTTTAAGGGAACAGGTTTCTCTAATGTTCTCCTGTAAACCAAAAGTGCATTCCTGCCTAAAATGTTTTTTGTTTTTTTTTTGTCGGTATCATGTTTGGATCTTCTTAAACCAACATTATAGGTCGTAGTAATCTCATCTTTCTGTTAAATGTGTCTTGACGCTAAATCCATCCATTAAGCTATAATATACAGCATTGTTGTAGATGAATGGATGAGTAACATAACCAGAGGAAGTTTGATACAGTGGACCCTACATGGAGGTATCTTAAACAGTCATAGAGTTCAAAGTTTTGTATAAAGGGGGCATCCTCTGTAAATCTTATTTGTTTGTCTTGTGTCTGTGTATTTGAGTTTGTGTTATCCTTTGTGTGTGTTAAATACCAATCATCTTGAACATACGGACTGGCTGATTAATGCAATGCGTACGGTGTCCTTGTTCATTTGAAGGTATACTCCCATAAAACGTTTTTGCATTTAGACTGGCATGAGGGACACAGCCTACTGCAGAATGCTTGTGGTTGTCATTTTGGTATTCATCTTGAGCTGTTGGCTATATCCCCATAGTTGCAGAAATATCTTTTGAATATCCCTGAATCTTGTGAGTACGAATAACAATGTGTTCAATGGTTTAGGCATCTCTCCTCTGAGCTTTTTCTCGGAGCACTCTCCAGCCTCGTGCCACACCTACACTGGGGCTTTGGAATAAGTTTGCACAACAAGGTGCAATGTAAAAAGCTAGAGCCAACACTAGAGGGAAAAGCCTATCCAATATCTAGCCATTATATAAAATACACATGGAGTACGCTAGGAGAATTTAACATTGTGGCAATGTTTTCTGGATTGCTCTGTCAGTTTAATGATTTGCTAAAATTTCAACAATTAAACCATGATCATATATTATGCGACTTATAGGAACGCGGTAATTAAAAAAACAAAAAACTTCTCTATTCCACCCACCTACCCCTCCTGAGTTAACCTGCACTGACACTCGCCACTCAGCTTCTTAGCTAACCCATCGCAAAACACGCCACAGCACTGTTGACTTCTCAGCAGAAATTCTCTTTGCGTTGGTCACGCTTGCACAGTGGACTCTCATAGACTCTCTCATAGACTTGCATGGAACTGCCTTGAATACAGCTCCAGCATTTCAAAATGGTCAAAAAGTTTTTGTGTGTTCAATGCAAAGGCACAGCCAAATCCGAAGAGTATTTTTGCCAGAGATAAGGTAAACATTGCACAACCATGCTGCAGGGGTAAGAAGAAGTAAGAAGCTAGGGTCGAGTATGGTAGTGCAGGTTTGTTCTGGTGTGGAGAAGGGTGGATTAGGAGTTTGTTTTTGCCCTTTAAAGCAAACCTGTGCTTTTGCCCATGCACTCCCCTGCTGCTCCGTTCAGGTTTTAGAAGTAAGAGTTGCTCGAGTTGAAACTTACACAGGACTGAGGACTTTCTCCCCACCCCATGTGACAGTGCTGGGCCAATGTCCTAACACAAACAATGTCACATCAAAAGGAGTGACATATACATCCATACTTGCAAAACAAAGCTGCAGGGGGAGCAAAGGAAAAATTAAACTGGCCATAGATGACTGAAATTCTGGCTAATTCCTGCTGAATCAGACAAAATTTGAGCTGCAGAGGGCCCTGCAATCAACACCCAGCTCTACAAAAGTAGATTTAAAAATTGGCGAAACCAAGTAGATTCCTACATCCACGCTGTTTAGCAAGGATGTGCAAACCAATTGACTGACTTTCTCTCACTCGTGCTACGAGCCGAATAGGAGAAATTGAGCCGTGTACGGCTAGCTTTAGTATGTTGTGCTGGGTAGGAAGGCATTAAAGTGAATCAGTGAGCAAAGCACAGGCTTGCTTTAACTATCTATGTAGTGCTTTGTTTGATAAGTACTTTTAATTTTACGGTATTAGAGGCAGTCTTTTTTAATCACGGAAAGTTTGCTGTGTTGACTAAAAATGCTTCCTCCTACCATCTTATTAATGTGGCTTCTCAAATAAATTCTCAGAATCTTTACATTTTTGGGGGGATTACTGCTGTAAGCCCTTTCCATATAAAAGGGAGTGTGATTTTTATTATGAATGTATGGAATCTACATCGAAGTCTGTGTTTTGGCATTTGGATGAACTTTAAACCTCATAAGAAATAATACTGCTGACCTCCAAACGGAGAAGAACAAGGAAGAAACAAAGTAAAAACACAGTTATACGGTAACTTTGAGCCTTGATATTATTTTTGACTTTCGCTTTTTAGCCCTGGATAGTTATTAAGTTGTATTTAAAGGGAAGTCCTGATCCAGATTACCTTTGAACAAATCCCAACCAAAAGTCTGCCTGCTAGTTGTACAAGTTACAATGTAGATCATATAAGCTGCTTTTCCCAATGGGGATATAGGAAGCAGAAAAACCCCAACTTCTCTCTCTATCCAAAACTAAATGTTTAAAAATGTCTACAATTGGACTTCAGTGTTTTACATACTTCTGTATGGTTTACATGACTCCCTTTTCCCAAATACTTATTTCTGGCCAGTGCTGATACCTAGTCTAATGAGCACATGAAAAAAATGTAGCCATGAAGAATCTAGGAGCAGCAGCAGTCTAATAGTCTGCAAATAAATGGCCCAAGTACTAGACAGTCGTGTGTTTAAAGTGCCCGGCCAAATTTTTTTTTTCTGTTTTAGATAGTGTGGAAGGATTTGTACCCTAGTGGGTTTTTACTGCTACCTGGGACTCCGTTACTCTATTACTTAGCCATGTGACACCAACTTACCAGACAGGAAGTCAGAAAAAATTTAGATGCAACATGAACAGAAAAATAAGTTCTGACGTTCCCAGTTCTAACCATCTGCCGTGGCCATTATAATTTTCATGGACGTACTGTTGTGTAGCATACAGCAGGAGGAGTGGGGTTCCTTTTGTGGCAGCAAGCTGGGAAACAAAGCCAGGATATACAGCATGGATATAACTTTGACTGGACATACACTTTAAGGGCCCTTTGACGTGGTTGTACATCACCCAAATCAGCATATTTCTGTGGCTGGTGTTTACGATAAATTGCAGACAGAAAGACCTAGTCTGTTCATATGCACTGTATTTTCCCATGGAGCATTTACATGCAGGTAGGGACAGATGAGCAGCTCTGTATGAGTCTGTGACCAGGGCCATTCATCTGTCCCTAACCGCAGTTTTCTCTCCATGTGTGAATACATAAATGGATTGGACTACACAGGCCAGCCTTCACTCCCCATGTGCATCAATGAGCCTCATCTGCCCATGACCCGGTCGCTGGCTCACTGGTTTTCCTTCCTTGGACCACTTTTGGTAGGTCCGCACCACTGCAAACTGGGAACATCCCACAAGAGCTGCAGTTTTGGAGTTGCTTAGACACAGTTGTCTAACCATCACAAATTTGGTCCTTGTCAAAGTTGCTCAAATCCTTACGCTTGTCCATTTTTTCTGCTTCCACCACATCAACTTCAGAGACAAAATATTCACTTGTTGCCTAATTTATCCCACCCACTTTTAGGTGCTATTGTAACGAGATAATTACTGTTATTCATTTCACCTCTCAGTTGTCATAATGTTATGGCTGATCCGTGTATATGAAATATTATGTTTTGGGATGACGTCCACTTTAAGTTTAAAAATACTACTTAGCTGTGGAATTATTGTTTTGCGTGAAATGGATATTTAACTGTCAAAAGCCTTGTTTTCTCCATAACTTCGCATTTCATTCAAACAGCGCAAACCCCCTAGCATAGAAATCCCATAGTAGGAGCCCTCCAATAATTAGATATTCAAGTATAATATAAAGTGCATCCAAACATATTTATTTAAACATTACAACACATAAAGATAAATCACCTCATTACATTTAAAACTCATTTAAAAATCGCATAGCTTCCCTGAAGTGACTCAATGTGGGACAGAAATAAACAGGGTTGAAATACCCGCAGGGCAGAGCAGCAGTCATTGATATGAACGGATACACCGTTATGAGGTGGTGGATACTAATGTATCAGCATATGATGATAGGATTACTCACTTGTTCCTCACTTGTGGCCACAACGGGAAGAGTCCGTACTTCTATGATGGATATTCCAGTGGTATTCTTAGTAAAGGTTTTTTATTCAAAAAACATTTGTAATCCTGCTGATCGCTTAAATGTTTCCACCACTTGCACCAACTTCCATTGAGTTTGATCCCGACCAGTTTCACTTCACATCTACTGTGGACAGGTGGCCCGACAATTCCCCTGCAAGTGCGGCCGCACCTTGGAACGGGGGTGAACGATGTTCCACGGGCAAGGTATCCAGTGATGTGCTTGATCAGGGATTAGAAATTGGTGATCTCCGATGTCGCTGTGTTGCTTGAGCGGGCCTCGCTCAATACTATCGGTATAGCAGAGGCTCTCCTGCTCGATCACTGCGATAACATACAAGTGGTAAGTCCTGGGTCCTCAGGGAAGCTAGTCACACGCTGAACCCTTGACGCATTTCCCCCCAACAAACGGGGCTTCCTCAGAAGGGCGTGTAACATTTCACAGATGCAGGTGATTTAAATAGCTCTTTGGTAGAGACATTGATAAGATTCAGGTTTTCTTAATTAGGTATTAGAGCCATTGCTCAGTGTTGGTACTACATATATTCACTTTAAACAGTACATTCCAATTCTCAGTGTATTCATTTGTAACAATATAGATCTATATTCAATAACCATGACTAGTCACAGATTAGCAAATGTACAGAGAACATGTCCATCAACCCACTAAACAGTGTCCATTCAAACCAAGTTCGTTAGTGTATTGCAACATTTAGGGTGGCTCTCCGACCGGTAAAGTGACTCAATGTGGGACAGAAATAAACAGGGTTGAAATACCCGCAGGGCAGAGCAGCAGTCATTGATATGAACGGATACACCGTTATGAGGTGGTGGATACTAATGTATCAGCATATGATGATAGGATTACTCACTTGTTCCTCACTTGTGGCCACAGGGGAAAGAGTCCGTACTTCTATGATAGATATTCCAGTGGTATTCTTAGTAAAGGTTTTTTATTCAAAAAACATTTGTAATCCTGCTGATCGCTTAAATGTTTCCACCACTTGCACCAACTTCCATTGAGTTTGATCCCGACCTGTTTCACTTCACATCTACTGTGGACAGGTGGCCCGACAATTCCCCTGCAAGTGCGGCCGCACCTTGGAACGGGGGTGAACGATGTTCCACGGGCAAGGTATCCAGTGATGTGCTTGATCAGGGATTAGAAATTGGTGATCTCCGATGTCGCTGTGTTGCTTGAGCGGGCCTCGCTCAATACTATCGGTATAGCAGAGGCTCTCCTGCTCGATCACTGCGATAACATACAAGTGGTAAGTCCTGGGTCCTCAGGGAAGCTAGTCACACGCTGAACCCTTGACGCATTTCCCCCCAACAAACGGGGCTTCCTCAGAAGGGCGTGTAACATTTCACAGATGCAGGTGATTTAAATAGCTCTTTGGTAGAGACATTTGATAAGATTCAGGTTTTCTTAATTAGGTATTAGAGCCATTGCTCAGTGTTGGTACTACATATATTCACTTTAAACAGTACATTCCAATTCTCAGTGTATTCATTTGTAACAATATAGATCTATATTCAATAACCATGACTAGTCACAGATTAGCAAATGTACAGAGAACATGTCCATCAACCCACTAAACAGTGTCCATTCAAACCAAGTTCGTTAGTGTATTGCAACATTTAGGGTGGCTCTCCGACCGGTCACAGCATCCCAAAAATCGACAAAAATTGCAAACCTGCAAATGAGTATCTTAAATTGAGACTATTAAAATATAGGGTAAATAACATTGCCTTAAGTAAAATCGTATTGTAGGCGGCAATATGCCATTCTAGACAATACATTTACAAAGATTTGTCAGGGAAGGGGGATGGGTGAATCTATATAAGAGCTAATGTTTTCGGTTAAAGACAGGGGGCCTCGACCTTTCAGCTGCTTTTCCTGAGAGTTATCGCCAGCCTAAAGTTAGTGGAATTTTAAAGTGTATTAAAAGTGTACTTCCCATATATGGAAAAACATCTCTTAAAAGTGAGGGGAAGTCTCCTATTATATAGTTGTCACTACCCATTGGAAAATTTTCCTTCACCTTTTGTCCCAGTGACAACTGTAACATTTCAGATTTCTCATCACAGTTTCTCCCAATGATTATATTCCCCTGGGAGGAAAGAGAGACATCTATAAAATCCTGACAGAAGTTCTAACTTTTCCCTATTACCCACAACTAAAGAGAAGTTTGGCTGAATTTTACACTCAAAATCCTTAAAAAATAAATAACATGCATGCAATCAATGTAGCTGAACCGTGTTACATTAGTGAATTGGAAAAAGATATTGCTGGGAAAGATATCGTGATGAAAAAAAGCACATGCAATGCTTTTTTCAAATCAGTATATCGTGGGTAGGCAACCTTCATACTTTAGCTGTTATGGAAGTCCTATGAGGCATTGCAAGACTCTGACAGCCACAGGCATGACTCCCCAAGGGCAAAGACATGAAGGGATTTGTTGTTTCACCACAGTGAGAGTGCTAAGGTTGCCTACCCCTGGAGTATGTTATCAAATAAAATTACACAGTCACGTGCATGGTGAAAATCGTGTAGGGTTTAGCGTTGAACTCCAGTCAACCATAAAAGTCTTCCTGCTCAATAGCAAGGATTAAAGGCTTGTTTAGTTTAGGTAGAAATAGGTGGTAACCACATAAATGTATAACCAGGAAGCAGAAAAACCCCAACTTCCCTCTCTATCCAAAATTAAATGTTTTAAAATGTCTACAATTGGACTTCAGTGTTTTACATACATCTGTATGGTTTACATGACTCCCTTTCCCAAATACTTTTTTCTGGCCAGATATACCTAGTCTAATGGTAGCAAGGCGCACATGGGAAGGCTTACAACAATACAAAACACAGAGTCCCCAGCACACTCGCCAGCTAGCCTGCAACAAAACGCATTACCCTTTCTAACAGTATGCATTAAAAACAGAGATTTTAGTTACACAAACCTTTGGCCAAAAATATGTAGAAGCCACACTGCCCCACACTGCCATTTGACAAAACACACACCATTCAGAATTCACAATTTAAACCAGTAGAATATGGATTCTGATGGGTTGCAGAGGGCACTGCCCTTTGCTTCCTGCTCTGTTTTATAGAATAAGTCAAACAATCTTTGAGGCCACTCAAAATTGCTTCCGTATTGCATAGCTGGTGACAAAGGCTCTACTTCTGTTGACTGCAGTTGTGAGATACAAAAAAAAATGGGAATTAAGAGGAGGTGTAAATCTCACCATTGTGAGACAGATGAAAAGCCAGTTGGTCAATCTGCTGACTAGTGTCCTCCCAAAAGTGAAATGTTAGACGTGGGTGGGATTGACCTTGAACTGTACAATTAAATTGTGACCAAGAAAATACTTTTGTAGCAGAGCCCTAAGTGTAATTTGATTATTGTATGTATATCAAAAATATTTTCTGTTTTTAGACTTTTTGGACTATGGCAGTTTTGTTCGTAAAGTGTATTTATAGCCAAATTTCCCATCTTGCTAAGGCTGTGGTCTTGATGGGTGGTGTATAAATTCACAGTTTCAATGACTTGGAATATTGTAGAATTGGCATTCACAGTACAATAAAATTGCATCATACCACTTCAACCTGTCAGAGGGCCTTTAAAGTGAACCTGACCTGGCTTAAAACATTTCTTCTTAATCTCATGGTGCCTGATTGTTCCTATGTTAGTATCTATGTTGGTATTCTGTGTCTGTGTGCACAGGCCCACAACGTCTTCCCAAATCAGGCTTTGGGCCTATCCCCACCCCCCTCTCCACACTATGCCCTGCCTTTTGCTATTCACTTGTGAAATGCCAGAGCTTCTACTGCCTGCCAGAGCTCTGGCATGGGACAGTTAAACAACATAGACAGGGCTTAGTACCAGGATAAGTCCCATGTGCAGGTTGGGCGTAGCATCCAATGAGTTCCACAAAGGGATAGGCTTGAAGATGTGGTCCCTGCAGATTAGCCCAGCTGTTAACTTGCAGATGCTTTGGTCCAAATCAGGTTTGCTTTATTATGTTATCAGTTTAGCTTACAAAATGGTGGTCTTTGCACAGTGTAGTTCATATGCAAAAGTTGAATTCCACTTAACCTTCTTTATTGCTATAACTGACTAGTCTGATGGTGATAGTAAGCTAGCCTACTATATGTTTAATTGTGTGGTGCAGAAGGAAGCCCTCAACTAAACAGCCATGGCTAACTGTGAATGCACTTTGGAAGGGAACATAAATGTAGCTCAGGTATTAGAAGCAGGTATTTTGGTGTCATGTGCTGCCATACTCTGCAGCATGTACTCATTCTAACATAACTCTATGAAATGCAAAGCAAATTCTCTGCAGAACACACATCCATAATTAACTTTTATATTTTCATATGCTGATCATTCATTGCATGTTGAAGATGTGTTATGAGTGAGTGCTCTTGTTTGGCTCTTTTGTGTATTAGTCTATGGTATTGTTTACTGTTTTAAAGTACTGTGTCAAGCTCAAAGAACCATTGTCTGGTTTATTGGTTGTGGAAATATCAATAACACAATCTGTGTCTTCTAATGTCTCTTTTCTTTTCACTCTAGTGCTCACACTGCAGATTACTGACACCATCTGGTAGGGCTTTCCTTCTTGCTAGTACTATAGTCCATGTTTTCACTAAAAAAAACAAAAAACACTACTGATTGAAAATACTGCACATCTATGTTTCATGTTGAATAAATGTCTAGATTAGAAGTGCTCAGCTTGAAATTTATGTGCAGGGATTCTGGCATTGGTCACTGTTAGTCTTGGTACAAACACTTCCTCAGATAACCTGACCCTCAGCAGAATTCTGATTCTGAGGGCATTTGCATGAAGAGAAAAATACATTTTTAAAGCATTTCCAAGCCAACATTGGTTAAAGATAATCTAACAGGGCGATGCAGAACTATAAAGAGGAAATAAGCTAATCTGGACAAACATACATTACTCACACAAGGGCTTTCATACTGTGTGTATCTGGAAAATATCTATGTGTATGTATATATGTATGTATTAGTGTGTGTGTGTGTATATATGTGTGTATATTTATCTCAAGTGGTTTTTGTTTGTTTTTTACAAACGTGACTTTAATTTGATTCGGAAATATCTAATGTGCCTGTGGAGATGTTTGCAAACAAGAATATACAATGTGTTGACTTTAATGTGCCATTATTTTGCTACTTGAATGATCAAAACTCCCGGTTTGTTACAGGTATCTTCATTTTAACCACATTGAGACATTGGAACCAGAATCTTTCCATCATCTTCCCAAGCTTGAAAGACTGTGAGTCACTTACTTACTGTGAAGTTGTGTTGGAGATGATGGTGGTAGTAATGTTTTCCTATTGTGTCCTTTTATAGATTTCTGCACAACAATCGAATCACTCACCTGGTACCCGGCACGTTTAGCCAGCTGGAGTCTATGAAAAGGCTGTGAGTATTCATGATATAATGCTGTACATGTGTACTCCCAGAATGACTACCTGGTCCGTGCATGCAACCGGGTACTTCCCGGGTGTTTGTCAGGAACAATTGGTTGGCTTTCTTAAGGTAGCAATGAAAGTCTTATAGTGTATGTAAACCCTAACTATTACATTCTTTTACTTCCTTCTATTTGGCATAAATATACTATTGAAATAATTTATATCTGAAGTGAAAAAGAAAAATGTCTGTCGGCCAGAAATCCAGTGAGATGACCCCTTCTCTTGCTGCCCTTAAATCCCAAGCAGTGTTGTCAGCCCTGTCCAGCCACCTTTGTGATTTACCCCCTTCCTATGTTATAGAGATAAGAAAAGGAGTATGAGGAAGTTCTAACACCTTTCCTGTCCTAGGGTGACAAGGCTGCTCCTCCATAGAGTATGGTGAATAAGTATTGTCACCCTAGGACAGGCTGTGTGTTTCTGGCGGAATCATCAGGTGAAAATAAAAGGAAGCCAGACAAAAAAAAGAAAACCAATACAGTCACAAAAAAAATTTAGATTGTAAGCTCTCATAGGCAGGGTCCTCACCATCTTGTCTTGATTTGTATTGTAACTTTAATGTCCTCCTTATGTTGTAAAGTGCAGCGCAAACTGTTGGCACTATATAAATCCTGTATAATAATCATTATCATATCTAATGACTGATAAGCTGCAATATGTCATTTTGTAGACACACTTAAATCCTTTGAGTCACTGACCTTAAACAAGTATGCAGATCAGGTAGGTAAGAGACAAGTCCGAAACCCTTATTCCTTATTGGAATTATCATTCCAAGTTATTGATTTAAAGTATTGAATTGGTCAGCATAACAGCCAGGCAACTAACTATTTTGAGGATTGGTCAACAAGGGTAGCCTCCATATGTCTCACACCTTTACTTTAAAGAAGGAAAGGTTAGAAGTATCTGAGATAATATAAGGCCAAAAGCGGAGTCTGTCAGGAGCATAGTGATATATAAATACTGTGTGTCATCAAAGACTTTACACATATAGGATAGATAGATACGGGTTTGTTTCAGCTGGCATTTGTTCACATCAGAACTGCTTCTCTTCCTATACAAGTCTATAGAATTGCAATAGCAGCTTGATTAAGGTCAGAGGAGGTCAAATACAGCTTCCAGTGAATTTGGAATGATCTCCGAAGCACCTGAAACTGATGTCTAAAGGAAGCTGCATTAGCTCATTGACACAAGCCCTTAAAGGACAAGAACCTATAGGACACTCTTCGTTGTAAAGTAGTTCTGTATGTGCACTGGGCATCTATATGTGTGTTCTCAGCTGATGCTCACGTGTTCAGATGGGCTCTCTTTGAGGTCAGATTAAGGTCCTATTGACCTAATAATGGATTCCGATTTGCATGTTGAAATTTTTGTGCTGATCTTAAAATTTTTATGAAAAAGTATTTTTGTATTTAATTTTTTACTTTGAGAAACTTTTTGCGAAAAATATTGTAGCTTAAGACGTGTTCATCATTCATTTGTATTTGATAAGCACATTTATGCGAACCAACTAAAGTGTGGTTGTGTGCCCACAATTGCATTCAGGCGCCTGGATTCCAATGCTCTTCACTGTGACTGTGAGATCTTATGGTTGGCTGATCTTTTGAAGATTTATTCCGAATCCGGTAATGCTCAGGCTGCTGCTACTTGTGAGTACCCACGCAGGCTCCAGGGGAGATCTCTGTCCACCATTACACCAGCTGAGCTGAACTGTGGTGAGTTGTGTAAACTTTTCATACTGCTCTTAGTATCACTATGGTCTCGGGTAGAAACGTACTGGAAGGTTAAAGCTGAACTCGAACCTTATCTTTTGAAGAGGTTTATGTATTCCTTCTAACTTTGTCTGCTATATGTCAAATGTGTCTTGACTTGTCAAATATGTCCCCTTTTCTGGCTGCCTTCCCCAGACATGAGATTCAAATCTGTTACTGACTTGTGAATTCTGAAAATGAGGGTGCCAGAGTGTTCAGTACTACACTCCCATTTTCTCCACACACTTTAGAGTCATACAATACCAAAGTATAGGTGTGGACACAGCCTAACAAACCTTGGCAGGTCATTGGTCATTGTACGTTTTCACCATGAACAGTAGTTTCTGAATGTGAATTTACTGTTTACACAACAACACTTTATTTAATGCAAATGCAGTGTACATGTACATATTGTCAGGGGAGTCAATCACTATTGAATTGTACAATGTGCCTATTTGTTGTCTATTCAGCTGTCTACGTTCTGTTTGATGCTTCAACCACTTTATGACCACTCTGTGGCCAGGAGAATGCTGAGGACATAGGTTTATATTGCATCCCCCACACATGTACATTTCTGTTGTGACCTAATAAATCTTTGCCTTGAAAATAACTTTTTTTTATTAGATTAGACCTAAAATGACTTCCATTTACAGAGCGGCCAAGGATTACGTCAGAACCTCAAGATGTAGATGTCACCTTTGGGAATACTGTGTACTTCACTTGTCGAGCTGAAGGAAACCCCAAGCCGGAGATCATCTGGCTCCGAAACAAGTATGTTAAAATAAAAAAAATAGCAGTTTTGTTGCCAAGTTGTATGTCTTTAGAAACATTCCTTTGTGTGTTCTACTGGTCATACGTGGTCATTTCTTTTCTCACTAGTATTGCTGCATCCAAAAACTTCCCATCTTCAAACAATCCCTGACCACTTATACAAGCTGTGATGGAACCTTCCAATTAATATTATTTTTTTCCTTACAGCAGAAGGCAAGTTCAGGGAAATGGTTGTTACCATTTTAATCATTTAACCTCCCTGGCGGTATTCCCGAGTGTAGCTCGGGGTTACTTTTCCATACCATAAGCGGTAACCCCGAGATACACTCGGGAAAGACGCATAGCATTTACTTACCTTGTCCCTCGAGCCGCGCTGTGTTCTGCGGCCGATGTTGGGTTCCGTCCCTTGCGAGTGTACGTGTCGCAGGGGGAGGAACCGGCGGGATATTAAAAAAAACAAAAAACGACAAAGACGAAAAAAATTCTAAAAAAAAATAGACTGAAAAATTACATGAAAAAATAAAAAAATCATACCGCCAGAGATGTTAAACGAGATGTGAAGTCTAATTCTAAAATTAAAATAAAGTGGTTAGTATCTTAAATTGAAAATCTTACAACAGATTAGGTACTTTTTTTTAAAGGAGAATTCTGGGGAGAGTGAAATACACTCATCCCCATAATTACAGCTGACTTGTGACACTGCAGCTGTCGCACGTCGGCTCTATAGATCGAGAGCTGAGCGATCACATACCGATCACATACCGCTGATCGCTCAGATCTAGATCTTCTCCATGCAGAGAGTGGTGACTGTCACTCACCGCTCCTCACAGGGATTCACCCCTCTCCTTGTCCCTCCACAGACTTGCAGGAGGGACCAGGGAGGGAGCGGGCTCTAGAGAGGCAGAGCCAGCGGTCATTCAGGGGGCAGAGGCAGAGCCAGCTGTCAATATTGTCGGGATCTTTCCCGGCCACAGCACAGTCCTCCTGTGACCCTAAATAGAACTATGCCCAAAAAAGGTTGGGCCATAGTTCTCCTTTAAGCCAAAAAGCAGCTTACAGAACGTCAGTCGGCAGGGAACATAGTGCTGAATTTCTCTGGCTCTCCCAGTGGGGGCATGTCCTAAATACATACACTATGTAAATTTCAGCCGGTGCTTGATGAACGGGCTGAAATTTGCACAGTGGGTTCCTCTCGGCACCCTTCAACCCAGGATCCCAGGTTGGAATCTGGTTGGAAAATCTTTTGGCCGAACCGTGCTTGCAGGCACTGTCAGAATACAGTGGAATCAGCGATTTTGTTTTCATTCAGCAGGTAGGCTACATGTTAAAAATAGTACAGTGTATGGCCAGCTTTAATTGTTGCTGCTGCACTTCACCCTAATATGCAGTCCTGACTAGCTGAGGAGGTAAAAACATTGATTGTAATTTTAATAGAATTGTGTCAGCATTGTCACCTTGTAAAAGGCAGTTGATAGGTAGGCAGCGTTTCTAGCACGATCAGTGTATTTCTTTACAGGGTGTTCACAGATGAAAATCATTTTTTTTGAATGCTTTGTGAGTTGCAAACAAAGAAGGAAATGTTTAATTGGACGTCTGTGTTCCAACAGTTGGACTGTTGGGGACCGTGAGAGTTGCAGACCCCTTTGCGTTGCTGCATGGAGGAATCACTGATCAGTTTTCTATTCTACTATACTGTTGAGTGATTCATGGCAACACCAACAGAGTGTTTGTTTGTTTTTTATTGCCCATATAGCATTGCCACAATGTGCTGAACTCTTGGTGAGGCAGGTGTGTACTTTATTTAATTTTTTTATTATACAAATGTCTCCAGCACACCATAATCTCCAGTCATAAAGTCCACTTTGAAACATAGTGTAAGTCACAGAGAAATGCAACATTTCTAGTCATGCAGGAGGACCCCTTCATTAAGGCAAGGTTAAGTCACATTGCCAAAGTGGAAGGGTCCTGCATTGTTTTCTGCATGCTCAGTTTTAATTTCCTGACTTTGTGACATGATTTTTTTTATTTGTGTAAGAGTTGAGTATGAAAGAGTTGACTAATTCCTTTTTACGTAGATGCAAAACATTTTTGTTTTGTTCATGGACATCCGGGTAAGATTTACGGTGCTTACCTAAAAAGAATTTGCGTAAAGCGAACGCCAGACAGAAATAATGAGCACAAGATAATGCAAGAACAAAGGGAGAACTTTTAACACTAGGAGCCCATCTATACTAATACTGGGCAGGACCTCCTTTTGCTCTCAAAATACCCTCAGTTCTTCATGACTTGGATTCCACATTCCACAAACATTTCTTTGAGATTCTGGTTCTGGTTTATATCTTTAAAATTTCTGCACATGTGCCAGCTGCACATTCATGCTGCAAATTTTCCATTTTACCACATCCCAAAGGTGTTGTTCTTTCTTTTTTTTTTTTTTTATTCAGATCCAGTGACAGGTCTAGCATGTGTGTGCCAAAACCAAAATAGGATTCGTCAGACCGGGGCTTTAATGGTCTAGTTTGGGTAAGGCTGTGCCAACAGCAGCCTCAGACTTTTAATTTTGGTAGACAGGAGTGGAACCCAGTGTGGTTTTCTACTGTTGTAGCCCTCCACCTCAAGGTCCAAAGTGTCTTTTGTTTTCTGAGATGCCTTTCTGCTTCCCACAATTGTAAAAAAAAGAGCTTTCAAATCTTTTAAACTCCTTAAAGCATTTGATCTGTTATAATACCCAGAGAATGAACTTTAAAGGTCAGAAAACTTGTGTTTGTTAATATTTTTAGTTAGCCACTAAAAGGTATCCCTTTGACAACTTTTCTTTTTGTACATCATCTTTTTTGCTTGTTTCAAAGAATGGTTGTGGAAGTTACTGTAGGCTTTCCGTCTGTCCATTTTCCTCTAACCTCTGTCATCAGCAAGGCACTTTCATCCACAGAACCGTTGCTCACTGGATGTTTTTGTTTTCACACCGTTCTGAGTAAACCCATGGAATTCCCAGGAGATAGCAGTTACAAAAATGGTCAAACCAGCTTGTCTGGCACCAACCATCATGCCACAATCAAAACCACTGATATCACAATTTTCCCCCATTCTGGATAGCCCCAGGACACCATGACATTCATCTTTTGCCGATGGCTGTATCTATACCTGCAATAGTGCAGCCCAAGTTGTCTCTGGTTCCAGCATATCCCACTTTCTGACCTTACTAAAGGCTTACCAACATGAAGCCTCAGAATATGTCCAGAATCTTTCCAGTATTTTGTTTATCACTGAGATATTAAGTATTGGGATTCATTGCTCGTCTACCGGTAGTACATTTATTTTGGCCTTATCTGTATAGGAATGAACTGAGCATGAAAGAGGACACCCGACTGAATCTCCTAGAAGATGGCACATTGATGATCCAGAATACCCAAGAGGCCGATCAAGGAATCTATCAGTGTATGGCAAAAAATGTTGCCGGGGAGGTGAAGACTCCTGAGGTCACACTTCGATATTATGGAACACCAAGTAAGTTCTTTTTATTGATCATATAACTTCACTACGAATAACGTCACTTGGTGACTCATTTTACTCCAGTTGATGATGATGATGATGATAATATATGTAAACCTAATCACTAAAATGTCATATACACTGTAACTTCATGTAATTTAAAAAGTAGTTTTCACAATTTTTAAATCTGCAGCTAACTTTAATATCGGTTGAGCCTGCCATGTAGGTCCTTGTTCAGGCACTTCTGTTAATGGAGTGTCAGGGCTCTGTCCTCCTGTGCTCCTGTGTTTTCACTTTGTCACACAGGCTTCTAGTGGAGAATACAATTGGCCATTTCACACACAGTACACAGACATGACCCACTGTTGTTACCAACAGGAAACCCGGCCTAAGAAATCCCAAATAGCCATTGCTGAAGTACATACTGTGCATATCGACAGTAAGAGGCTGCAAGAGATCAGCAGTGCTAAGATGCAACAAATGATGAAAAAAATTAAAAAGCAAGTGTTTTATTTAAAATAAATGGCAATTGATGATGATACACAGTTCCTTATCAAACTCTAAATGTTACTCACTCCGTGTTTACTTCAATGATTGTGTTAATAAAAGACAATCTGCAATACAACCAATCAGATTCTTCGTTCCATTCACCAAGGCCTTATTGATTGTTGTAGATGAGCAATGTGCGTCTCAGCATATTTAATTTTTTTTTCCCCCAAACACTGTGCACCACAACTCAAATATGTGCATGGTGGGGTGCTAAGCTGTAGGTCTGTTGTGGTGTGCTGAAGATGTGTATGAAACTAATTACTCTGCAGATTACCACACTGGGCTTCTTGAATTACAATGCACTACATGTTAATGCAGGTTACCACAGTACGAAGATGTGAATCTGGACATATATGCAGTGGTCATTGTTTATGTTGCCTTTTGGAACTGTGTCCATATCTTCATACATAATAGGACTCATGGAGAACTAAAAGAGCTAATTAAGGCGAGCCATACTATCACAATTGACCTGCGGTTTATGTTCAGATGAATAGGATTTTTGAAAGGCACTGTGGAAATTGATGGGGGTGAGAGATTTTTTGAGCTGTGGCAGTCCATGACGTAAACTTATGAAATGCCAATTCGTTAATGGAAAACTGAATTCTGCATATAAATTTGATGAAATTTGGCTGTGAAAAAAAAAAAAGTTATTTTTCGTAAAACTGTGGTCTTTTGTCTTTTTCTGAAACAGCCAGGCCCAGTTTTGTGATTCAACCCCAGAACACTGAAGTTCTGGTTGGTGAAAGCATCACCCTGGAATGTAGCGCAGCAGGCCAGCCACAGCCAAGGATCACATGGACCAGAGGAGACAGGACCCCACTGCCAAGTGACTCTCGTATTAACATCACACCCTCTGGAGGACTGTTTATCCAGAATGTGAACCAGGAAGATGCTGGAGAGTACACATGTTTTGCCACAAACACTGTAGACACAATCCATTCCACAGGTTACATTATAGTCCAAGGTATGTGTTTTATACTATGTGCTTTGTTTTCTATTATTATGCCCCGCTTAAAATAATTTTTTATTCCTGAGATAATATGGAGGTTGTCATTTCTCACTTTCCATTGTGAAAATGCTAATTGCCTAGTTGTCTTTCTACCTTTCTTGATTCAATAATGCAACACTGACCAGAAAAAGGTGTAGATAAGGACTGCAGACTTTTCTCTTTCTTAATCTGTACGTCTATTCCACTTTATTGGCTTTATTAACTAATAATTGACTTTATTCGTTAATAAAGTCAAATAGTTTTTGACTTTCTATTGACTTTATTAACATTATTTAATTATATTATTAAAAAGAATATATTGAAATATTATTGCATGCAGTGGGTCA